AATTTAATGTCAATTTAATATTATTAGTAAAATTGTGATAAAGAAATTAAATTAAATAACATAATAATATATAGTTATAATAAAATATACCCAGTGTCCACGTTCTAGAACTGTTCTAGAACAGTTAATGGAAATAAAGAACAGTTCTAGAACGGTTCCAGAATTGTTCCAGTAGGTGCACACTGGGTAATAATGTAATATATAATTAAATCAAAAATAGAAAAGATTTAAGTATAGAAAATATGCTAAAATAGGTGCTAAATATTCTTAATGTCCGAATAAATTTCTTTCGCTGCTTTAATACTTTGTTATTGCAGTGTTAAAAAAAATTTGTTCAAATTCACAGTGAAGATAATAATAATCTTCCTTAATCATAATAAGGAAATGAAGAGAGCAGAGTTGAGAGGTTAAAATAATAATGATTCATCGTAAATGAATATTGAAATATCGGAGATAAAATGTTTAGATGCTATAAATACAAGTATAATGAATATGAATTGATGACGAACGCACTTTCGTCTACATGTTTAATGTATCCAATAATTAAAATACAATTAGCCGTTGCACACGTGAGGCACAGGTCAATAAATCAACGAAGAGGTCGAGTCCTGCCCTTCTTTAGAATCCGGGGCTTATTGTGCGAGCCTTTCCCCCCTTTTCATACAATGCGCGTATATATAGATAAGTTTTTCTTTTACTCGCGCGAAAGACTATCATCAAAGCGCGGAGTCCTTTTTTCCCGATTTTCTTTAACTCAAGAGTATGGCAAACAAATCTCAAATTCTAATTATAAATATATTTATTTTCCTCTTCTTCCTTATTTTTTTCTAACTTCCAGTTTATTTACAATTACGGACCAATTACTGACAAAAATATAACCAGTCCGAGTCAAATAAGAGAACATTTTACTTAAAACCAAAAATTAAATTTTGCATAACTATAAAACATGAAGATATCGATAACTCCGAGTTCGGAGTGATTCGACTCGGAGTTATCGATTTCTTCATGTTTTATAATAATTAAAGATGACCGAGTGATAAAATTATTATCAATTCAATTATTATTTTCAAGAAATTTTAACAAAAATTCTTCTTTAAATCAATTATTTTTATTAATTTTCAAAAAAGTTCTTTGACAATTTTCAAATCCATTTCTTTACAATATTCAATTTTACTAAATTTCAATTATTCGTAAATTCTTTAATTAAATATATATTACAAAATAAAAACTTAAAATAATATAAAAAAATCCGAAATTCAACTTTCTCAAAAATATTAATTTCAAAATTCAATTATTTCTAAAACTCCACGCTAAATTGCTTTTCATATTCAATTATTATTTAAAATTTTAATTGAAATTCATTTTTAAATCAATTTTTATTAAAGTTCTACTACAATTCAATTATTTATCTACAAAAGTAAATAATTTATTAAATAATTCAATGTTTCTTAAAATTCAATTCCCATAAAGAATTTTATCAACATAATTGAATTTTTGCTAAGAATTTTAATAAACTTTTCAAGGATAATTACATTTTTCGAGGAATTTGATTAAAACGGTATTAATAAATTAATTAAAATTCTACGATGAGTTTTATAGTTTTATTATTTGTGAAAATAATTAAATTCCGAAGAAGAATTTTATTATTTTTGAACAATATTTAATTTTTGCGAAGAGTATTATTACTCTTGAAAATAATTGAATTTCTGCAATAATTTGTAACTTTTCCAAAATTATATTTTTTTTCGTGTTTTTAACTAAAATTCTTCTCTAAAAGCATTATTTTTATTTTTTAATAATTTTTTAATTTTCAAATTCATTTGTTTACAAATCCAATTTTTAAAAATTTCAATTATTCGTAAACTCTTCAATTAAATATGTATTAGAAAATAAAAATATTAAATAATTCCAAAAAAAATTTGCAATTAAACTTTCTCAAAAAAATTAATTCCACAGAACTGGTAGTTAAAAATATAAAAATTCACCCTATATTGCTTTTAATATTCAATTCTAATATAAAATTTCAACTGAAATTCATTTTTAAATCAATTTTTATTAAAAAATTCTACTAGAATTGAAATATTTTAATACAAAAAGAAATAATTTATTGAATTATTGAATGTTTCTTAACATTCAATTATCGTCAAGAATTTTATAAAAAAGATTTTTAAATAATTAAATTCTCTTGATGAATTTTGATAAAATTTTTAAGAATAATTAAATTTTTCTAGAAATTCGATTAAAATTGTGTTAAAAATAATTGAAATTCAGCAATGAATTTTATTATATTTATGAAAATAATTGAATTACAAAAACAAATTTTATTATTTACGAAAATAATTGAATCCCTGTGAAGTTTTTATTATTTTATGAAAGTAATTAAATGTTTGCGTAGAATTTTATTAATTTTTATTAAATTATTGAATTCTTTTTAAAAATTTTATTAAAATAGTAGATATTGAAAATAATTGAAAAGAGGAAAATTTTTGAAAATATAATTGAAATTTTACCAACAATTTTATTTATCAAAATTTTTGAAAACAATTGAATTTCAGAGAAGAATTTTATTATTTTTAAAAATAATTGAAATTTCCAGGAGAATTTTAAAAAATTCTTGAACATAATTTAATTTCTGCGAAGAATTTTATTACCTTTGAAAATAATTGAAATTTCTGCATTTATTTGTAATTTCTCTAAAATTCTCCAAATTATATCGTACAATTTACGAACTTTTCGTTCTTTTTCAATCAAAAAAATTACGGACTTTACGGACCTTTTTTCAAAAATCTTATTTTTACGGACTTTAACCAAAGTTACGGGATTTACGGACCTAGTTCGAGTCCTGAGGATTTTTGTAATGCTAAAGATATGAAAAATAAAAGAAAAAGCAGGAAACTAAGAATTAATAGAAAAAAATTTAAATTAAAAATTAAGAAATAAAAACTATAAATGAAGAATAAAAGAAAGAGAGGAATAAAAAAAGAAAAGAAAAAAATCGAAATTTTTAGAAAAAAATAATGAAACAAACAAAAGGAAATAAGAAAATTGACACTTTTCAGAAAAAAATAACGAAGAGATGGAAAAATAAATAAAAAATAAGAAGAAAAGAAGCAAAGAAGAGAAGAATTTTACGTTCATTAGAAAAAATAGCGAATAGAAAAATAAAAGAAGAAGCAAAATAAAGAAGAAAATCGTCATATTTCTGAAAAAAATAACGAAGAGATAAGATATAAAAGAATATTAGAAAAAAATCGACACTTTTCAGAAAAAACAATGAAGAGATAAAAAAAGAAGAAACAAAAAGAAAATCGAGGTTCTTTAAAAAAAGATGAGGTGCAAAAAAAATAAGGGAAGAGGAAAAATTAGTCTTTGAAGATGCACATAAGTTGTAAAATAAAATGATGAGAGATGGTTCTTGAGAGCATATATGAAAGATGTTAAAAGAAGAAGGATCTGTAGGCGAACTATGCTGGGTATCCAGGATGAAGGTTGGGCACCAAGTTAACCAGCCACCCGTGTATTCAGTCTATATCCTGAGAACAATCAGACCTACCAACTAAATGCGTGGGCAACATCGCAAAAAGTACATTCCGAGAAACATTCCCATTATCTATGTTATCACTTCTAATCAGGCGAAAGAGCAAGTTTCAACATTTTTTTTATATCTTTCAAAAAAAATTTTCAAACAGAAAAAATAATGTAAATAATAGTGTAATTATACTATTATTAGTATTGTTAAGATTGTTTTATAATTTATATATTACAATTTATACTTATTATTTGCAACTTGTAAAGTATTAGACAGTCAAATTAATTTTAATTGCCACGTGGAAAATGTGAACATTACATTAAAATTTTACTCTTTTAATTCTAAATTAATTTAAATTGTTTGTAATCTAATTATATTTATCAAAAAAATATTATAATAAAAAATAATATGAACGATTATAATAATACTAATAATACAAAAAAAAATTGTTACGAAAACTACAATTCAACTGATTTTTTATTATCTCTCATGGTCGGTTATTGCCTCATAAATAAAATATTATCAAAACTTGCATATAATTAACAAAATTTTGCATGTATATCTACTTGCGAAAGAAGAAAATAGAATACTTTATTTTCTAGTTAAAATTCAAAGTGCTTTAGTATTGTACATACAACTTTTTCTTTTTTCCTCAATAAACTCATTCGGCAAAAATAATTTTCAAGAAATATTAAATTTTTCAGAAATTCTGAATAAAAATTAAATAAATACAAATTTTGATTTTGTTAAATTAATTTAAAATTTAAAATTAATTTCTTTAATATGGTAAGTGAATATTAATACAGGTGATACAAATTTTTAGTGTGAACATTGTATTACAATGTGAATATACTCTCGAATTTTATTTAAACCAACTGTAATAATTTATTTGAGTTAAATAAAAGTATATTTGTCTCAGAGCCAACTAGGTTATTTATTTGTTTTACATAAAAATTTCATTCGATATAAAGAAAACGTTTATTTAAACCAAATAAAATTTTTTTTAAACCAAAAAAACGTTTATTTGAACCAAATAAAATTTATTTGAAACAAATAAAAAGTCCAGTTGGCTCTGAGTCAAATATATCTTTTTCCTGAGTGCAAACTTTACTTACAATAAACTTTATAATTTTTTTTTATAATTACCCATAATTAATATATTTACTGCTTATAATCATTAAATTAATTTGATCATTTATTGTTAATTTTACACTGAAAAAAATTTATTTGATTCAAATAACTGATTACTTGTCTGTAATCAAATAACTATTTACTTGAATCGAATAAAATTTTTTTAGGTGCACAACAAAAAATACTACAATAAAGTAAATAAAAAAATTCAATGAGTTGATCAATAATTATATAAATAATATTATAAATTGTTATAAGTAAAATAAAATATAATTAAAATGATAAAAAATTCTATAATATACATAGAAATCATAAATTTAATTCGAATTTATTATTCTAGTTGAAAAATATAATCGCAAAATTACCAATGAAATATGTGGATACGAGAAAAATTCTAATTAGATCCGAACCTTTTTGTTCAACTGTGACAGCAAATCCCGGCGAGAGGAAATATGATTCCGCTCAAAGCTATATTAAAAAAAAAGATGTGAGTATTTGAATTTTTTTGAATATTTTCAAATAATAATAAATGTTAATTATTTATTTGCAAAATAAATTAAAAATTATGGTTTCATTATTAGATTGGAAATATGGGAATTATTTATCTCAATAGACCTGGTAAACTTAATTCAATGAATTGGTCAATGGCAATTTATATGTACAAAATACTTGAAGAGTGGGAAAATTGTAAAACTCATGTTATTTGGCAAAGTAATGTAAAAAATATATTTTCTGCTGGCGGTGACGTTAGAGCACTTCATTTTGTGAATGGATTGGACACAGGCACAAGATTTGGAATAGAAGTGACAAAATTTTTTCACAGGTAATTTTCAAATTAAAAAAGAATTTAAAAAATTTTTTTAATAAAGAAAAGAAGTACTATAAAAAAAATTTATTTGATTCAAATAGAAATTACAAAATCTATCAATCGATTACTTGATTATTATCAATTAAATAATTTTTATTTGACTCAATAAAATGGCATTTGCTTCGGTTATTTTGAATCAAATAATATTTTTTTTCAGTGAAAGAAAGTAAAACAAAAAAAAAAAAAAAGAAACAAAAAAATTAAGAAAATAAAACAAAATATAAAATAAAAAAAATAAAATATAAAATAAAAAAATAAAATAAAACAAAGTAAAAAAGAAAATAAAAGAATAAAGAATAAACAAAATATAGAAAAGAAAATAAATAAATTTTTAAAAAAGTAAATTAGAAAAGTAAAATAAAAAAAATAATAAAAAAAGAGAAGCAAAAAAAGGTACTGTAGTTTTTTTTTTTAAATAAAAAAACGAGCTTTAAGGAGAATTATTTTTAGATTATGTTATTTTGTCGCTAATTATCAAAAGCCATTTATTACAATTATGGATGGTCTTTCTTTTGGTGGAGTAAGTGGAATTGCTATCAACAGTAAATTTACAGTAGCAACCGAAAATACAATGTACGCTACTCCAGAAACATCAATTGGCTCTACGCCTGATGTTGGTAATATTTATAAATTATCAAAATTAGATAAAAATCTAGGCTTGTATCTTGGCCTCACTGGAGCTAAATTAAAAGGTAAGAATATTTTAGTTTATTTTTCTTTCTAAAATTCACATAGCAAAATAATAATGAAAACAAAAGTTTAAATACACAACATTAAAATAGAAACGAAAATAATTTAAATAAATAAAATTGAAATATAAAAACGAAAATAATTAAAATAAATAAATCCCTCTCTTTTAATTAAAATAAATAAAATTTAAATAAAAGCAAACATAATTAAAATAAAATGTAAAATAACAACATAAACAAATAAAATAAAAATAAAAACTCAACAGTAATAAATTAATTTCGAACATAAAATATTTTTTGATATACGCTCTTTTCAGGAAGTGACGTTTATTTGGCTGGCATAACAACCCACTTTATTCCCTCCAGTCGAATACATTTATTAACGAAAGAATTAACAGAATCAAATGGCTCAGATATTAGTGAAATTTTAAAACAGCATCACATGAAAAATTTGCCTAATCAATCTAGTATGGAGCCGTACGCAGAAAAAATCAATCACTGCTTTTCAGCTCCGACAGTTGAAGAAATAATTGATAGGTATCGTATATTTCATAACTATCAATAAGTGAATAAAAAGTGCTTTTACAAACACACAGTTCTATTGTAATTTTCTACAAATAAATATTGATTAGATTGAAGAACGATAATTCAGATTGGAGTAAAAATGTGGTAAAAACAATCATGGCAAATTCACCAACAGCTTTAAAAATGACTAAACAAGCTTTTGATATTTCCTCCGAAAAAAATTTCCCAGATTGTTTAAAAATGGAATTTGGTTTAACGTACGCTGCAATGCATACTGACTTTGGCGAAGGTGAGAAACAATTTCAGTATTTAATTAAAGAGTAGAAACTCTTTTCACTTTTTACCCCATAAAAATCGTAAATTAAAATTTTTTTTTCAAATTTTCAACTGCTACTTGAAAGTTTAGTTATAAAGCTTCGAAATTCTTGTCAGACTTCAGAAATTTAATTAATTAATAGCTAATTAATTAATTTTCGAAATAAGTAAATTGAAGTTAAATAAAATAATATACAATGATTATTGTAATATTTATAATAAATAAGTAAAAAAAACAAATCAGTAAAATAAATAAATGAAAATAGTAAATAAATAATAATAAATAATTTACTCTTAGGTATTCGCGCACGATTAATTGACAAGGATAACAAACCAAATTGGCAGCCAAAAACTTTAAATGCAGTTACAGAAGATTACATTAATCAACTATTTTCCATGGTTCCCAATTATGATCAACTCGAACTGTAATTTTCTTAAATAATAAAAGTAAAATAAAAATTCAATTTTTTAAACTTCTTTTATGTTATCAATAAATTTTCCAATAGCAATAACGTAGAAAATGTGAAACAAATTAAAAAAGAAAAGTAATTAAATTAAAAATTGTATAAATTATAAACTGTGCAAATTATAAATTGTGTAAATTATAAATTGTGCAAATTATAAATTGTGTAAATTATAAATTCTATAGGTTCTAAATTATACCTAAACTGATCAAAAATAATTCAGTCACCAAATAAAAAATATTTCCTAATAAATACTACAAGGAAGAAATTAAAAATAAAATATATGACATTAAGCATTATGAAATCTAAATGCAAGATAAAAAATTTGCGAAGAAAATAAATTAGTAAATAGTGAAAAAAAGAAATTAAGAAAAAAACAAAACAAAAATGTCGTTGAGAATAATGGGCTAGTTTTGTGGTCTAGTGCATTTCAGTGAGGATCCAATTGAAACTACAGTAGCGGTCGAGGGAAAATTCACTCTGAACTGTCGTCATGAGAAAACAGGAGATATTACCCAAAACCCACAGTTTAAATTAGAAGCAGCGTATAAACTACAAATTGAGCTGGCAAATTGCATCGTGGTATACTTGCTACTCGCTCATTGGCTCAATTTTCCAACAAGTCCTCACCATCCGGAAGCATTCGAATTTTTCTTTTTCATCTCTTTTCCTCATACTTTATTACACTTTTTTTTTCTCATTTTTCTCACGTTTTCATATAAAACACCAAGTTTTCTCTTTGTTATTAACTTTTGTCTGTTGTATGTTTTGTTACATTAGACAAATTTCTTTTAGATCAATTTGCGAACGTTTTGTAACAACTTCAATATACTTTATAAAACTAAAACTTTATAAAATTATAATTTATAATTTTTTTACTACTGATTAAAACTCAGAATTTGGCATTCTATCTGCAACTATCAACAATCCAATAAATTCCAACTGTATATACTTCAGGGCTCGAACCAGTGAAATTATTTAAAAATACAGACTTTACGGACTAAAAATGAAAAATTATGGACTAATTACTGCGACAAAAATATAACCAGTCCGAGTCAAATAAGAGAACATTTTACTTAAAACTTAAAAAATAAATTTTGCATAATGATAAAACATGAAGAAATCGATCACTCCGAGTCTTCGACTCGGAGTGATCGCTTTCCTCATGTTTTCTAATAATTAAAGATGACCGAGAGATAAAATCATTATCAATTCAATTATTATTTTCAAGAATTTTTAACTAAAATTCATCTTTAAATCAATTATTTTTAATAATTTTCGAAACACTTCTTTGACAAATTACAAATCCATTTGTTTATAATATTCAATTTTAGGATGTATAAAATATAAGATTTCAACTAAAATTCATTTTTAAATCAATTTTTAAATAATTAAATTCTTTCGACCAATTTTAATAAAAAAATTTTAGAGTAATTACATTTTTCAAGAAATTTGATTAAAATTGTATTGAAAATAATTGAAATTCTGCGATTTTCAATTTTAATTTTAAACTTCTTCAAAATTCAATTATTTGGGTGATTCTTCTGAAAGTGACATTTTTGATGTCTCGATTAATTTTATAAAATCTACTCACTAATAATTGTTAATTATTTTCATAATAAAAATTTAGCACTTACTTTTCATTAAAAAAAAGAAATTAAACAATTTTATTCTACTGAATTTATACAAGAGCTAAAATAATTTCATCTCCGAAGCCTTTTTTGCATGTCTCCAATAGGACTTCTATAAGAAAACTAAATTTCTATGCTTTTTTCCAACTGTTAGAAATTTTTTTGAAAATATTGTCAGAAAGTACAATGTTTTTCTGTCATAACGTATTTTTTTTTAAATTTTAAGACCTCTGTTTTATATATGATAAAAATATTAAAACTTTGTCTTCGGTTTTAGGTTAAAATTACCTCACGATGATTAATGATATTTTTGTACATTAAAAGTATTCTTAATAAAATTTTAATGCATAATTTAATAAAGTTGAGAATCTGATGTTTAATTTGCCCATATATTATTTGTGAAAAGGAGAGGAATTATTCCTTCTATAAATAGTCAAATTTTACTTATTGTCCCGAGCAAAAATTCAATTTCATCTCCGAAGCCTTGCTCTTTATTAAATAATTGAATATACGAATAACTTTGACGAAATATTTTTTACTATAATATAAAATTACGTTGTGAAATTTGTATATTTTATTAAAAAATATATTTTAATTCCGCCCTAATGTGAATAAATGTGAAAAAAATTTATTTTTCATCTCCGAAGCTTTCATCTCCGAAGCCTTTTCCTTGAAATGGGCAAATTTTTCTTTTGTTTTTAGTATTTACCTGCATTAAATTGAAAATATTAACCTAAATAACTATCAAATTAATATATTATTTATTATTAAAATATGCAGATTATTATTTTTTAAACAGTGTAATTGTATTATGAATTAAGTGGATGATATTAGTGTATATATTTAATAAAAAAATCTAACGCGAAACAAATATAACCAATCAATTGATGCAACGCAAAGACAATCTTTTAAAAGAAGAAAAACTTTAATATTTTGAACAATTAATTTTGCGCAACTTGAATTCTTACTCCTGAGTACGAAATAAAGTAAGTTCAATAGAAAAAACCATATTATTTAAAAAAAAAATAAGTTAAAAAATCGAACTTCAAAAGTAGCACTTTCAGAAGAATCACCCATTTCTAAAAATTCAGGCTCTAATGCTTTTAATATTTAATGATAATATAAAATTTCAACTGAAATTCGATTTTAAATCAATTTCTCTCTATAAGCATTATTATTAATAATTTTTGAAAAAGTTCTTTGAGAATTTTCAAATTCATTTGTTTACAATTCAATTTTACAAAATTACAATTTTTCGTAAATTCTTCAATTAAATATGTATTAGAAAATAAAAACTTGAAATAATTTAAAAAAAAAATCCGCAATTAAACTTTCTCAAAAAAAATTAATTCCTAAGAATTGTTAGTTAAAAATATGAAAAATTCAAATATTCAAAGATTTTAATTTGAAACCTTCTCAAAATTCAATTATTTCTAAAAATTCACGCTCTAATGCTTTTAAAATTCAATGATATTATAAAATTTTAACTAAAATTCGTTTTTAAATTAATTTTTATTAAAAATTCTACTAGAATTCAATTCACATACAAAAATAAATAATTTTTTGAATAATTAAATGTTTCTTAAAATTGAATTTCCATAACGAATCGATATCAACAAATTTTCAAATAATTGAATTCTATCAAAGAATTTTAATAACATTTTTAAGAATAATTACATTTGTCGAGAAATTCGATTAAAATTAAATTAAAAATAATTGAAATTCTGCGATGAGTTTTATTATTTGCGAAAATAATTGAATCCCTAAGAAAAATTTTATAACTTTTGAACAATATTTAATTTTTGCGAAGAATATTATTACTCTTGAAAACAATTGAATTTTTTGCAATAATTTGTAACTTTTATAAAATTAAATTTTTTTTCGTGGTTTTAACTAAAATTCTTCTATAAATGCATTCTTTTTAATAATTTTTGAAAAAGTTCTTTAAGAATTTTTAAATTTATTTGTTAATAATTCAATTTAACAAAATTTCAATTATTCGTAAATTCTTCAATTAAATATGTATTAGAAGATAAAAACTTGAAATAATTTCAAAAAAAAAAATTCCGCAAAATTAAAGTTTTTCAAAAATAAAATTAATTCCAGAGAATTGTTAGTTGAAAATATGAAAAATTCAGATTTTCAAAGATTTTAATTTAAAAGTTAAAACCTTTTCAATATTCGATTATTTTTAAAAATTCACGCTATATTGCTATTAACATTCAATTCAAATATAAAATTTCAACTGAAATTCATTTTTAAATCAATTTTTATTAGAAAATTTTAATAGAATTCAATTATTTAAACACAAAATAAAAAATTTATTGAATAATTAAATGTTTCTTAAAATGCAGTTATGATAAAGAATTCTATCACTTTTTTTTAAAAAAAATTAAATCCTCTTGACGAATTTTTAATAAAATTTTTTAGAGTAATTACATTTTTCTAGGGATTCTATTAAAATTGTGTTAGAAATAATTGAAATTCAGCAATGAGTTTCATTATTTATGAAAATAATTGAATTCATAAAAGATTTTTATTATTTACGAAAATAATTGAATCCCTGTAAAAATTTTATTACTGATAAAAATAATTGAATTGTTGCGAAGAAATTTATAAAAAAATTTGTAAATAATTGAATTCATGTGAAATTTTTATTATTTTATGACAAAACAATTAAATGTTTGTGTAGATTTTTATTAAATTTTTCTTAAATAATTGAATTTTTTTGGAAAATTTTATTATAATTGTATGTAGATATTGAAAATCATTGAAAAGAGGAAAGTTTTTGAAAATAATTGAAATTTTGCCAACAATTTTTTTTACCAAAATTTTTTAAAATAATTGAATTTCGGAGAAGAATTTTATTATTTCTGAAAATAATTGAAATTTTGACTAGAATTTTTTTAAATTTTTTAACATAATTGAATTTATGCGAAGAATTTTATTACCTTTGAAAATAATTGAATTTCTGCAAAAACATTTGTAATTTTTCTAAAATTCTCCAAATTATATCTTACAATTTACGAACTTTTCGTTTTTTTTCAATCAAATTACAGACTTTACGGACCTTTTTTAAAAAAACTGACTTTTACGGATTTCAAGCAATGTTACGGACTCTTACGGGATTTACGGACCTAAATAGTTTAATAAAATATATTTTCAAATATTAATGAAGTATTAATTTTGAAATATTGATTTCTGTCTTATCGATGATAAGCGAAATAAATATATATCCGCTAAATTGACACCTTACCATCTTATAATAATTATTATCACGGAAAAAACCCATTTACCATCTTATGATATCTAAATAGTTTGAGCCCTGATACTTGCTGGCAATCCAGCTAATGTTATTTTGCATTTTCG